GCCAGTAATTAATTATCTACAAAGATTTTTTTATTTTTGTGTTGATGTGTACTCCGATCGGCGATTTCGATAAGTTGATCTCTCGCTATATTACGAAGTAATCTGGTCCACATAGTTTGACAGATTGGATTTGTGTTTACTTGTCTACTGACTATAGACTGACCTCAGTCTGAAGCCACTATCGATTCTCTGTTCTTCTTGGAATTCATCCAGTTTAGGATTTTGACATTTCCTTAAGATATTCACCTCAGCGGTTATCTACATGTACTTGCGTAGATAAATATATATTGTATTAACTACTTACTAATCTAAGTTCATAGATGCATAGTGACATTGGAACAGAAGGAAAGTGGGGTAAAAAAGAATTCAGAAATTTGTAGCACATGAGGTTTGTGTCCACTCTCTAAAAAACATGACAATTTGTTAACCAAACAAATTTATATGAATACAGATTTTGCTTGTGTGTGATGATCGCTAAATAACGAAAAATATATGAGTTGGTTTTAGACTGAATTAATACAAATGAATAATGTATTTTATGTTAAACGAACATCACACTAAATTAGTATTGAACAGACATTACACTGAATTATTACGTAATTCCTCATTTTATCCAGTCCTAACGTAAAGGTGGTGGTAGGCACCTACCGATGTATGAAAGAAATAGTTCTTGTTTTACCAGACAGTTAATATTATGGGTATGCCCAGTAAAAAATCCATTTTGTGTTTATTTATAGAGCCACTGAAAAAAAGTGTGAAGACATTCTGTACATCAGTGCCTCAAAAAGAGTTCACGGGTAGAATAAAAACCTTCAACGTTCTAAATGAGCCAGCTACTCTATTCGTAAATCAACAGTTCTAGGCATCTCAGAAAGCGCTTTATCCTCAGAATAGTGAGCTGGAGTCCAGTGGTTTAAATCTGTAACTTCAATCAAAAATGAATTTTATTTTATAGATTGTGAAACAATGCTGATTAGTTATTATAATTCAGCAAGAAGTATTGCAGGAACCTCTTCAACATGACTTTTTAAATAGCACTCGTGATCATTTGAACTATATTGTGTGAAACTATTTAAAGAGAGATGATACTTAAACTCAATATTACATTTCTGTGAGAACATAAAGGTTTGTAAAATGGGATTAACTTGGTTGATTGTCAACCTTTAATTATAATGCAAATTAAATGAACAATGTAGAAAAGTATATGAAACATTATTATTCGTTTCGCCTGTAACGTTGAATATGGTTCAGGATGCTACTTTATCAGATTATGAACTTCAGCCGGTTGCGAAGTGTGTGAATGACGGTCGATTAAAGGAATTGGATAATGATTTAATAGAGTATTTCGAACGCCCCATTTCCATTGTTATAATGGGCTGTGCCCGAGGTCCGATATTGATACATAACGTGCTATACACTAACCTCCTACCTGACTGATTGATAGATAACATAAGAGTGGACGAGACAGTATGTTGAGCTACCGAATAATGCAAACCCTTTAGAAAATCAATCAATTTCTTAACCAGTGATATGCATTTGTCTTTCAAATCGCTTCACGTTGTCATTAGGTGACCTTCACATTTGGCTACCTTCTCTTGGCCTGAAATGTCACCTTTCCATTCTGAAAAGTATGTTTTGCTCTTTGTGTTTGACGGAAGACGTTGAGAAAAACGTCGTCTTGTTCGTGATTTTCTCAGAGTTTGACCATCGCTTTTACTGCACTAATCGTATTCCACATTTCCCAAAAAGCTCATTCAGCACCGTTATTGTCGGTGTTGATGAGGTCCTTTATATTTTACTTTATACTATGATACACTTAAAAGTAAAAGGCTTATATCAAGTGAATTAATGTTCATTAAGGGATTGGGTTGAGTTAAATGTTAGCCAGAACAATCGGCAAAGTACATCAACGTCCTGCACTTTCCAAAATATCAGTAGGTTGAAATTAAAACACAACAATATTTGGTTGATATCTGACTACTCCCGGAGATGTGGATCAATTGTTTGAGGCTGATAAGGTTATAGTCATCAGTCACTGCAGCCTAGTGAAATAACTCAAGGATGATCACCTTGGTTAGTTGCATACAAACTTCATATTCCCACAAATCTTGTTATTATTCGCGTTTCACGATTTTAGTTTGCTGTTTAACTAAATCCATTAAATTTATGTTCAAGTTTTCTGTTTGTATTTTATCCATAGTGGATACTTCATACAATAGCTCTAAATGTAACTAGCTTTGAAGCTTCCTCGATCTTCTAAAACAATAGAACGTGAACAACAGAAAGTAATAACATTGAATGTAGATTAAAATCATGGTCCATAATTTTAATATATACAGAAATTCAAAATGCAATCAGGAAAAACCTAAGGGTCATGTTTATGAGGACACTTGTGAATCAATTCATTACTAGTAGAAACAAGCAAGGGTATGGTATTAATCACGTGAGTCTGATATAGTTGACAATTTTTATTTGATTTATTTACTTACGATAATTCTGGGTCATATGAGATTAGCAATATGGGCTTATCTGATGAACCTATTTCCTGAGAAACAATAGTTTCCTGCAATTCACAAAAATAAATACAAATGCCATTGATTCCATGTTTAGTTTTACCACATCTGTATCTTTATACTAATACTAGTAAATGGGGCTTAAAAACTATGGTCATATTTTCCGAAAAACTATAAACAACTTGAAAAAAAACTCATTCAATCTCAAGCTTTAGTTCTGTTACAAATCTCATTGATATTCATTATGCAACATTATTGAATGAAGTCAAAAGTTAGAATGTAAGAACAATTTGAATGTTAAAATACAACGATTAATTTTTTGCTGCCCCATAAACCAGATGGTTATTATTCACTTAGTATCTTATTGTTTTAACAATGTGATAAATATACATGGTTTATTGTGCTGAACGTCCTCATTAAAAAGAAAGATTCCATTGCAATTTTTTCCTAGTCATAAATGTACACCAATATATAGGTTTTATGATCAGGAATAAATTCCACATATCTCGATATTTTCTTTAAAGAAAGTAATCATTTAGTGAATCAACCGATGTAAAGTTAATACAAGATTTAATAAACGCTCATTAACTGCAAATGTTACGTAAAACTTTTTCATACTTATTTTACATAGGTTATACACACAATTGTAACACTTATATATTAGTGTAGAGTTATGACGAGGAACTAATGGTAAAGTACATTTCTACCGATTGTTTGAATTTTCCCATGTTTATGACTCCAGTTGACCAGTCTTCTTGGGTATACGTGCATCCTACGCGAACTGTCTTAATACCGCCACTAGATCATAAGCATTTTGAGCAGTGATAAATAGTGATTAGTACTGAAGTTCAGGATGTGGATTTATTCTGATTTAAAGTTTGTCAGTTTGATGCTTCTATATTCCAGAGTGAACATCAACTCTGAGATACAAGCACATTTAGCTGACGAGTTTCGAATAGGAAGAAATGCGCATTCTGGATTGCACTGCTAGCTACCATCTTTTTCTGTTTATAATAAAATATTCATTTACTTAGCTCACATTTATAATATCTATGTAAATGAAGCATATAAATCAGTTCCCCCCAAAAGGACAAGTCAGCTAGAGAAGAGAATGATTTTTAAGTGTCAAAAACGATTATTTTGATAAATAGAGAAAAGTCATTAATCATTAACATCCAATTTTAGAGAAATTATTAATGATCGTACTTGCAATCTTTTTTAAAATTATGTAAAAAGCAGTTTTTATCTCAAGTCAATAACACGCATAAAATTTCAATGACAAATAGTAAACAAGTATTTCAAACTTATGTATTATCTTCCCAACTACACATTGCTCTGAAAAAAAGTTTTGGTATGAACTTGAATCATTTAGAGGCAATTGAATAGCTTCATTGAATTAGTTTAGGACTCAGCAGTACAACCCTATGACTGTGTATGGATTCCAAGTCTATGGTTAATAGAAGTGGTCATCACTTAGAACGGAATTAAAATGATATTTTTAAATTAGCAGCCTATCCTGTAGATTGATATGTAATTCTGCATTAGTATTAAATGGGACTAATCATTATGATGGATAGTTTATTAATACGAATACAACACACAGAATCGTATCTGAGTGTTTGGATTTTTAAGTGAACATCCGTACATTTAACTTACCACTTCGAGAATGTCCTTCTTTCCAGTCAGTCGGCACTTGTTCATCCTTCAAATCTTCTTGAATAGAAGGTGAAGCATGTTTGCAGTTATTTCAATGTCTGACTTCAGTGCTTCAGCTGGTATATTGTCAGGTCCTGTCGCTTTCCCACTCTTTATTTGTCTGATGGCTATCTTGACTTCCTCGATCGTTGGTGGAGTGACAGATATAGGAAATTTTGTGTGTGCTGCTTCGATGTCCGGTGGATTCAATAGAGCTGGTCTATTTAGCTGTTCCTCGAAGTATTCTGCCCATCTTTTCCTCTGTTCTTCAATCTCGGTGGTAGTCTTTCCTTCTTTATCTTTGACTGGTCTCTCCGGTTTGTTATATCTCCCTGCCAATTTCTTCGTTGTATCATATAGTTGTCTCATATTCCCTTCTCTTGCATCTTTTCCGCCGTCGTTGCTAGTTGTCCCACGTATTTCTGCTTGTCGGCTTTAATGCTTTTCTTCACTTGCTTGTTTGCTTCTGCGAAGTCTGCTTGTGCTTTGACTTTCTCTGCTCGTGTTCGGCTGTTGTTAATTGCTAGTTTCTTGTTCTTCCTTTCTTGAATCTTGTTGAGAGTTCCTATAGAGATCCATTCCTTATGATGATACCTCTTGTAGCCCAATACCTCCTAATACGTTGAAGTTAATGTTTCTTTTATCCCCTTCCAGTTTTCCTCCATCTTAGTTTCTTCTTTCAGTAGATCCTGTAAGGCTTAAAACCTGTTGTTGAGAGTTATCTTAAATGTTAACTGGAAAGAACTAGAAAAGCTTTCCCAGGACAGGGTTGGATGGAGAGTGCTGGTGAGCGGCCTATGCTTTTCCACGAGGGGTAACAGGCTTAAGTAAGTATGTTATTTATTATTCAGTTTCAAAAGTCAGCAAACCGCATGTGGAAAATCCTTAACAGAATTTGAATTCTTTCTTTTTAATCTTAACTTTATATTGAATATAGTTCACTTTGATCATTATTCAAAGCTTTAGAACAAGTAAATGGTAGAGAGGAAAACGAAATTATATCAATAATAATAATAATCTAAATCAACAACATCTATAAACAGTTTTCACTTGATCAAATCTGTCTCTTTTCTTTCCATGTCATTCATAGTACAATCATATAAATAAACTTAAAAATCAAATGCCGTAAAACGAACTAATCAACAAATTAATTTGTATGCTAGATAAATTATGACAAAATGAAATAAAAGAGAATACAATACATTCACTTTGAACATCAAAGAAAAAAAAAGCACCGGAGGATTTAGGGCAACATTAAAAATTCTCATAAGACATAATCGTTAAAAACTAAACAAACAAACAGACTACTCATTATCTCACTTAACTATACTACTTTAATGTATTGTAAATTTTACATATATAAAAAATCATGAAAAATTTAGGTTTTTCTAATAATTTCAAGAAAATGAGGATCAAAGAAAATAATATAAGATATAAACAATTGAACGAAAAAAATCAATCAATTAATCAATAATAATTTACAAATGAAACATTTTTTGTCAAAAAAAAATCAAAAAATAAATTACATAATTTTTTGTAATTAATAGATGTAATTTGAATTGTTCAACAGAATAAAAAAAGTTTTATTTATACATAAGGATATTAGTTAGATATTAGATAAAGTGAAATTGGACAATTAGATAATAAGATTCATTTTAATCATTGTTGATGGATCTGATCTAATTCTTATTGATAAAAGATCTAATAATGATATAATCAATAACAGGGTACAGAATACTTTAGTTTGGTTGATATATTTATTACACACACACACACAAATGAAAACTCATACATTTCTTTATTTCTGATGACAATTATAAGTATTATGGAGGTTATAAATGGAGGAAAATTAGTTTCTCAATAATAATGTTACTAATGTAAATATCATATAAATAACCATTAATTAATTGGAAATGAGATGGCACATTGTATGCATTACAAATATCTTTCCACAGAATTAGACATATTTCAATTTTATTGTCAGTTAACATTGACGATTGTAATGTTAAGAATTTCGTTTTATCATGTAGCTTAGATTTGAGCGTATTTCATAACTGAACATTTAATCGTAAAGCAGGTCAGTAAACAAACTGATAGTTTGTTGTGTTTTTGAAGCTCATCATTGTTAGTTGACAAGAGAAGTAAATAGTAATGTATATTTTTTCCATTAAAATTCTTTGAATAAATTACGAGAACTAACACTGGATAAGGGAATTTCAGACCAATCCTGTTCAAAATACTGTTCATAACAGCATGTATCACCATCACTCTGTACATTGGGAATGATGGGGGGCTAAAATAATTAAAAAAGGAGTTATTGGTAAATGATATGATATGATATACTGCAGAATGTGGTCCATTATGTTTCAAATAAATGGTTCAGTAGTGTTACACTATCTAGGAGACTATAAGATCCTAAATTCAATCTAACATATATATATATATATATCAACACACTGCATGCGATGTCAATTAAATTAGACTGGTGAACAAATTATAACTTGGTCTACAGATTCCAATCAACAGTAATGAACTAACATGTACAATATTGGTCATTACTCAGTGATTTATCGGTTGTAAATATCTCAGTTGCACAGGAGATCGTTTAAGAGCAGAACTACTTCAAATATATGGTTGTGAGAAACGAAATAAATAAGCATATGAAAAAAAGTAGCTCTAGTTACGTAAACTATGATTGTTGATATAATGAATCATCAACCTGCTCGAAATTAACAGGGTGAATTCAAATAGACAATAGATATAAGACAAGTCAAGTGATTGGGCATCATAGATCGACTAATACAGCTATAGCCGAAATAAATTTTCACTTTGTACTTTCATCAACAATACGTACCAATTTTAAAGCGAACGGATTACTGTCAGTAATCGATATATACATCTGAAACCACAGTGTGTAAAACTGATTAATTGAGCAAACTGCTTGTTAGACTGACTTCTATGTGCAACTAAATGAGTGCTACAACTCAGTCAATCAGTTATCGGCAAACATGTTAATTCTACTTATTCAAGATTACTTATCAGTCATCAACGTGAAACAATTTATCATAAACTCATAACATTATTGACATAAATATATTAAATATGAAATTAAAATTGCATTATAATGAACAACCATTAGAGTTCATAACTTTGCTTGGAACTTCTATTTCAGTACAAAGAAGTTTCGTTTAGAAACTCATCACATGTCAAAGCTCTCAAATAATATGGCATTGATCATATCACATTTATACTAATCGCGCATTATTAATTTAGCGGACAATTTTCTCAAAAAGAAACTGTGAATCACTGGTTTTAATATAATAATGCAATATGTAAGTTTGAAAATGAATCATGGAGTAGACAATGAATGGTAATTCAAGTTAAAATATAATGTACTTTTGATTATGACCAAAGTATTCCATTAACTCTATGTGTAAACTACACTCACAGTCAATCAGTCTCTGACTTCACACATAATATAACAGTTTCCTAATGATAATGGGATATAGTAGATTTTAGAACCTCACTGGTTACTTCTGTTTATTCAGCTTGGTATCATTAGTTATCTTTAAACAAAAGGTGTGGATGTGTACTATGTGAATCAGTTGCAATTATATATTTTGAAATGTCACTAATGGTTTCTGTAATTAGTCCATTGATATTATAAATGTTCCTCAGAGATTTTAATTTTCGTTCATTTTAAAAGGTAAATCAATAGTTTAGATAAAAATAAAATTGTACTAAATCACCTTTAACTTTCTCTGGAAAACATCACTCCAACAAATATCACTGAACCACGGATGTTCTAATATTTCATACATACTATCCTGTAATAAAATATACAAAGATAAACAAAAACAACATGTAAATATGAGTAAAACCGGTCAGAAGAAATGTTCATTAGTATAATTCTCAAAGATTATTTGGCAAGCAATTTGCAAATAATAACTGGTTTTCATCAAAGTTCAATCATTTGTTACTGAATCTAAATGATCTAGTATTCACTTATCGTTTCGGTTTTCATGATTCTTTCCTCGAATAAGATTAACAACTAATCAGATTTTCTTCTCCTTTCACTTGCTGATGAATTCCTGATATTAAAACATTGTTAGGTTCTATCACAAGTCGATTGAAGTTGTAAATTTGAACTGTTAGCTAAATAGTCTAAAAATAATATCCTAGTGCATCTTAAATGTTATCCATGACCGAATTATGTGTACACACTTCGTGGCAGTCTTAAATCCTAACAAAAAATTAATCTAATTTAATTTAATCCATAAATCATAATTATCTTTGGGATCAAGAAAGAAACCTTAATTAATAACTTATTAAATTGAAAAATGTAAAACAAACAATAGGAAAATAAAGTATTTGATATTCTAGAAACAAATGAGTGCATTGTTTCTCATTCAGATTTGCCTGTAATTGATGTATACAACAACAGTATATACTATTTTACATGAATCCTAATGGGAATTCATAGTTTATGATCACTCATTAACGTTTTAAGTTTATTATAAGTTCACATTGTAAAATAATACAGTATTTGCTGATTTATTTCATAAATAAAGGTCCTAAATACGTTTATTAAACAATTTAACTCAAATAATAAATCTCTTATCAGAAAAACGTCAGTTAGCGTCATCAACCACAAGAAATATAGAAGAGGCATCAAGGCGAAGAAAGAATTCTATAAACATCTTACTCATTTTCCGTAAGGTCAAAAGTATATATTTGAATACAGACTAAAAATGGAATGCAGTGGAGATCTTTCTTTCTACTTATGATTCTCCAAATGGATGTTTTCTCATTCTAATATTGATGTTCATATTAAGTTTAGAAAACAGTATCTATCATTTCAACAGCCATTTATTGTCAACTAAGCTTCGGAAAAGATTTAGTCAGTAAACTGTTAAACAAATGTAATATTTATCAATATTATTATTTCTTGCAAAAACTTCGTGGATCAGTTGAAGTTAGACATTAACACCGTTGGATGCCAGCTCAGTGGTCTATCTGTTAAGGGCTTCGGCTCGAGACTGGTAGGTCCTGGGTTCAAATCCCGCTCGCGAGAGCAGGTTCGTGGATGCGCACTGCTGAGGAGTCCCATAATAGGACGAAACGGCCGTCCAGTGTTTCCAGGTTTTCCATGGTGGTCTAGCTTCAATTGACTCACGCTTTCAACAATGATAAAAATTTATCGTTCATAATTTTATTAGTTTGACAAAAGACACTACAGATAATGATGTGAACTCTAAAGAACTCTAAAAAAAGATTTTCAATCCTTAAAATATTCTTTTTTTTCTATTTCTTACTTTAGAACTGCCAAGTCGTTCATTGAGATTTACACGTAGAAATTTCCTGACGATTGATCTGTCCGACAATAAAATATATTACAATAAAACTTAGTAGATAAATATGAAGAAAGGACGAAAATTAGTCAAATAAAAGAGTAAATTTTGACATTCTATAAATTACTTTATCAGTTAAAAACTACATTCAACTTTATTCTGAAATGATAATTTGTAATACATGTCATAAAAAATCAAACAAAAAACAATCATGAAAGTTAATACTGACCAATACATGTCTTCCGCTAAATTTTGCATATATATATAAATCGAAGTAATATTGGACACGTTTAACATTCGGAGTAATAATATTTGTTGAATACATTGTAAAGATTTTTATAGTTAACATACAGTTCAAACATGGTAACTATTGACATTTGTGTAACTAATTATTCAGGTCTTAAGGCTATATAATAAAAGAGTGTTTTTTTCGCTAATCGTCCGGTTTTGGTAAGGCTAATTACATAAAAATAGCATATTTGTGCTGGGGTAACAAACCTTACTTCTATTCACATGACTTAGTCTTTAAGTTTAACTATCCAGAATATTTTCAACATTTTTAAAAATGTTGAATAAGTTTAGCATAAACGAGTTGAATGTTTTTAAATATACGATGGTAACGATTTATTGCTAATATATTTATTCTTTATTGAATCTAAGACTTTTTTCAAAAAAATGTTTGATAAGAGAAAGATAAAATGTATAGTACCTTCAATGGAAATAGCCTTAAGCAAATTTAAATAAAAACTATTCTATTGAGATAGACACTGGCATATCAGAAATGTTTGAGTGCTAATCGAATATTTACATGAATTAAAAGGTATTCAACGTTTAAATGGCTTTGAAGACAGTAAACTCGACCTGAACATTGAGTAATACAAGTAATTTAGGTAGGAAATTACCGGTGACGTGACGATTACATACTCTTTAATTTTCGTCAGTTGAAGCTGTCATCATATGTGCTAACTGGAGAAATCCATATATCAAACATTTATTTACTGAAATAGTAATCCTGAATAAATGCCTATTAACATAAACTTTTAATCCTGCAGAAATAATATCAGGTTAGTCATAATTATGAGCAAACTTGTGAGGAAATTTTGACAGCACTAATTATTAAGCCACAAATTTGTAAAAGTAAATTATCTAGCTGAATCAAAATGGTTTGAGAAAGGTTGAGTTGCTTTGAAAGTGACGGAAAACCAGAAAATAAATAGCGAAGAATAATGGATGAGTGTACTATGTTTTCCATTTAGATAAGCAATAGAAGCATATATTTCTGTGTTAATATAATGAATCTGTGGTTAAAGCAACACAACATTTCTTAACTAAACACGTGTAAACAACAATATAGGGTTATGATATATATTACAGCACAAAACAAACAATGATTCTCTAAATCATCATGAAATATTTCATTTGGGCACTACTTACTTAGCATTTTCATCTACTATTTCGTCTGGGAAGTCAAAATCTCCTGATACAATTTTCTGATATATATGCAACCGATTATCATTTTCATCATAAAATGGTGGACGACTACAGTCAGTGCATTATTATCCATGCAATTCAAAATTATTTAATTGCAACAGGATAAATTAATGAAAAACAAGAGATACGTTAAAGAATTAATTGATCAAGTTTAAACAGATTTTAAGTTTACTCATCATTTTTATAAAGTTAAATCCTTAAATTACCTTTGTCATTAATACTTCTTTTCAATCTTTAATGGTATTGTAGTGTCAGTTGATATGTTAAGCCCTTATTCTAGCTTCTGGATAAGCCAATTTACCTATCCATCTTGAGTCATGTTTTGATCTTCTAAATTATTCTCTTATTAACCCTGATTATTTTTATACGAGCGTATGTGTGTATACTTTCTTATTCTATTCATCGTATGTCTGTAACTTATTCTTGTCTGACTATAAATATTGATTAACGCTTGATTAAAGCGAGTAAGCTTACCCGCCATCTCCAATACGTGTCATTTTTGCTTTGCTCGCTGATATTTGTTAATGTGCTTATAACTTTCTGGCCTGTGTCATTTGTCAATAAAACTATAGTTGCCGCTTCTCTTTGCCTTCTGATTTTACACACCGTTAAGAATTGTATTATAACGGTTGTCAAGGTGAACGATTAGCGAAGCACGGCACTACAGTATTATATTAAAGTCAGGGGAAATTGTTTTTGTTTAGTATTCAACTTTTCATCAAAAAAGTTATCAAAATAAATAAAACTTAGACTCTATGAGAAATAATAAAACTGTGAATGTTGATGGTCGTTGTATTTTTTTGTTGAGCGAATGTAACGGCCTACAGCAGAAATGAATCGTTCTATTGAATGTTTTAAAAAAATAAACTAAAAAAAACAAAATGAATTCATTAAAGAAGGAAATGATGCTTTTGTTGTGCAACATAAATTGCCTTTAGGCATGGAAAATAGATGTAATTGACTTTTTGCATTATAAGAAGCATGTAGATGATACAAGAAGATACTTAATTAAATCTTGAAATTCTAAAAATCACAGCATATTTTGATGTTTGTTATTAAAGAAAATACATTTTTTTCTAAAGAAAATTAAACGAAACATAAACCTCATTAGAAACATGAAACTGATTGATTTAAATTTTGAACATTTAGGTTACAGTCGTGTCGTTTGATGAACTTTGAGTGATATATGAAAGTAAAATAAGAACGAAGCGTTTATTACCTTTTTTCAATCATGTCGACTATTTTTATTTTTGATGTATGCATTAATAAAACAAATTTTTTGACAGATATATAAACATTTCATTTTTTGGATTTTCACTTCACTAGAACGTTAAGTTTGCTACATATTGACCGATGATTAATTCTAACTCTTTATTGGTGACTGACCATACCCACAACTATTTTTTACATCCGCTTATTCAGAAAACTTGATCTTTTCGACCACATCACAGATTGGATAATTACAATAAGTGATAATGCATGACTTTTCTTACCCTAATCGATAGATATTTTGATTATTGTGTATCTGAAATCTATATCTGCGATCGACTATTATTCAACTTATTATCCTAGTTTACACTAATCGACCAAAATGTAACATATCCGGGAAAGGGTTATTATTTGTAAGGTGAAAATAAACAGATCTTAAATAAATAGATATAACCTACCCAACCAACATTTCATAAATAATAATTCCTGTGGTCCACCAATCAGCTGCATGATTGTGACCTTTACCCTGGAGAATTTCAGGTGCCAAGTATTCAGGTGTACCACAAAGAGAATAAGTCCTAAAAGTAGACGAAACATCATAGGAAATAATGTATTAGCCGATGATATTGTTTAATGTAGTTCCCACTAGTAACTATGAATTATAATTCTGTGGTAACATACTCAGTAGGGTCTTCATTTGTGATAATTTCAAATGTTTAGATGAATTGTTTGTTATCTGAACCAATAACCCATATATTTCCATGCTCTTCACTTTAAGATTTTGTATCGTTTACATAGGTTTTCCAAATTCATAACATTTACTAATTATTGATCATATAATTAAAGGTTCATGAGGTAGTACACCAATAAAAAAATGTATTTTAGTAAATAACTGTGTCATTGAAAAAGCTATTTGACGTGCACATGTATATTAAGACTTCTTTACATACATTGTTTTGAAAAATTGATTTCATCAACGTTTTTTTTCTAGAAAAGGACGTGATCAAATTCTTATGAGTATGAAAAAGGTTTTTCTTTGCGTGAATTGGTTGAATTTGGTTGAATTTTTTTTGAGTCACAGATACTAAACTTACTTAAATTCCTCACTATCAAACGTACTTCCAGTTACGAATGGTGTCACACAAGGTAGAGATTTATGATATTTGGTCTTTATTGTCTTTTATAAGTGACGTCTGCTATTAATTCAACACGGGTAAACTTTTTCTGGTTTTTGTATTCATTTTCTTCTCACACAATTATTCATAAACGAAATTGAGTTACAAAATCTTAACAAGATCTTATTGAAGTACAAGAAGAGGGAATTCAGACCTAGTATTGAAAAAATGTAGATAGGTTTGCCTGAGTGATCCTCATCACCAATAAACCTCCCTCATAAATGACATGGAACTGTCTTGTTTTTACTCAGCGGTAGATTCAGGACGTAAGTATCTCTACATATTGTTTTGTTTTATAATATGTCACCAAGCAGCAGATATTGAAGTGATTTCAACTTTTGTGTTATATACTGAGTAATTTGCATGGATTTTATTGTACATGGTATGCATTCTATCAAGGAACACCATAATTCTGAGTAATGTTTTCATTAAAGATAAAACTAAAGAAGAATCTAATATAGATATCTTTACTTCCTCTATGAATGTACTTTAGATCAGGAATCCAGATGCAACGAAATTTAAATTGATCCGTTGTAGAATTGATAGCGTTTTTAAGGTTTTTAGTCAGTTACATTTTACATGCAGCAGTTTTATTCAACTCACTGAAGCAAGAAGTTACAGAATTCTCAACTCAATATAGATATTCAATGAAATAATGAACCGTACATTGTTAAAATACTATTGAATTTGTAGAGGCACTAAACTAGCTGCGCGAGATCAAATGTCCTGGGTTTGAGTCCCGCGTATGGGATCACGTATGCATACTACTGAGAAGTCACGCAATGGGACGAAACGGCCGTCCAGTGCTTCCAGATTTCTAGTGGTGGTCTTATGGTGTGTGTTACTGATGTCAACAGATCGAGATATAATTTATCGTCAATCGAAAGTGAAATAATGGGCAGCAGATCGAAGATCGAAGGAAAGAGAACGAGAACAGAGAATGGTTGGTGTGAATACGAAAGAGCAATGAAGTCTGAGACAATTGATTGACACTTTGCAAGTGAAGAATTTACTGTATGGTTCTCAGATCTTACTAAAATGTTCTGTAATTTCCTATCATTCCCACTGGTGTTCTCGTTCACCACAGTCTTACATTGATCGATCCATGATTTTAGTGGAATTCAACAATCTCCCCGACAGCTTACAGTCAATTTAAGAGATGAAGGTTTTCTTATTCCAATTCCATTCTCAATTAAAATTATACTACGATGAATTGTTTAAAAATCTAACATACCTGACGTGGTCTTTCCGTGAAATCAATCCACTACAATTTTTTATAATATGTAGTGGATAATTTTAACTCTTTCGCCAATATGGATAGTGGCTAGCAGTGGAATCCAGGATGCGCGTTTCGTCCTATTTAGGACTCGTCGGCTGGATGTACCTGCATCACAGAATCGATGTCCACTCTGGGACTCGAACCTAGTACCATTCACTTCAAACGCCATCGCGTTATCCACTCAGCTACTGATTCGTGATAGCCTCTTGCTTGTGCAATGGGGTCAAGTTGAAATTCACTTAGTATTGTTTATTTGAATCTTCCCACTGCTTATAATGCTTATGAATTAAGGCTATATCAAGGCAATAAGCACAGTATGCACATATGCCAATAGCAAACTAATCAATTGCAGTCCTAAACATCAATGAGATGATTCAAGCAAACAATACTAAGTAAATTTAGTCATGTATGTTTCGAATGTAAACTTATTAATGATCATTATGGTTATTAACCTAACAATCCAAAACATGTTTATCACAAACACAAATCGTATAACCTTTCTGTGTAACAGTTTACAACTATGAAAGTATAGTTACATTGTTAATTTTTAAATGATAAGAATACGAGCTATAAGTAACATTTATTCCAGTTGAAAAAGCTGAATGATTAGATTTATTATATATAGTTGGAATCATGAGTCAATTGGAGCTAGACCACCGTGGAAAACCTGGAAGCACTGGACGGCCGTTTCATCCTATTGTGGGACTCCTCAGCAGTGTGCATCCACGATTAGATTTGGTTAGAAAATACTTTCAAGCGTTTAGTTTCAGACAATCAAGTTTTTTTTTAAAAAAAGATAAATGTTATATTCATTTACATGATTTTGTTTTAGATCAAAACCCATCGCTTTCTGTAGTTAAAGTTTTTATTAGCAGATTGAAATTTTATAAAAAATCTTGATTAGTCGAAATGATTACGACAAATTTTGTTCCTCCACGACAACATACTTGCACAACACGTAGTTTTAAAATTTTATTGTTTATTTTATGATTAATAAAATGAAAGACATATTGGAACTCATTTAACACTCTATGAACAAAAATAATAAGATTTTTAGTCACAAGTATTTCAATCATAAAATTTCGAAATTATAGATTCATAAAAGTCATGTTCACCGAGAGATGCAAATAAGTTAATCTTTTTCCAATCTAATGATTTATAATATCAACTAATGTGTCACAGAAGTAGTTAAAAGTAATGACCATATGACTGAATGGATCATACTTCTCTACTTTGAACATACCATAAAGTGATTACATATAACCCATCTGAAATAATAACAAGTTAGCAATGAAGTCAATGAGAAGTTCCCACTACCTGTACAAACCATCACCAACTGATAACTTATTAACCATACTGTAGCAAATCAATCACACCGACTGAACGTATGTTAAAAAAAATCTTACCGTAACTTTGTTGCAAAGAACATTAGATAAAATCGAAAGACACTAATAGTCATTACTAACATAGACCTTTTAGCTTTGTGCCTTGTAAACTGAAGTTATTACTTGTAATAATACCTTAGTTTGGTCGGACATGTTAAATTACAAATTAGTGTAATATTTATATATTAGTGAAAGTTTTCATTTTATAAGTTTACAGAAGCATCGTCAACTAACCGGTCTTTAACATGCTTTGCGAATCCAAAATCAGTCATCTTCAAATGACCTGAATAGTCCAAAAGTAAATTTTCCGGTTTTAAATCTCTATACACGATATTCAAACTGAAAATAACAGAAGAAAAACTGAATGGAAATTTTTTTAAATAAATAGCTTAGTTCATATATGTTAAACAAGTGAGTTAGTATATTTATTATAAGAATACAACTAAAAAGACAACTTTTCCAAGTAGGATTTTGACTGAGTTTCATAACAAACTGTTAAATAAAACTCCCAAAAATTTGGTAATTCCGTCAGTTTACAATTATTTATTAGTTCCTAATATCATTTATTCAAAAGGCATTATATAATACATCATATAATCGTTTTACGTTTGATATATAGATTAATAGTATACTTTAATTAACGGCTAGATATTCATATAGCGATTTCATCATCTATTAGATTATAAAAGTAATCACCTATCATGTATCATTTCTTCTTCATGGTGTATATTACTGTGACTAAAATATACTCTAAATCGTACAGGAAAACGAAATGAAATTAACAGACTACGTAATCATAAATCATTTTAGCCGACTTGAACGATACATCATAATATATGACTGATAAAAACACTTCATTTTGAATGTTCATAAACATTTTATTTTGGACCCACTAATACCACCATGATAATAGTTTGTTAAGATATCAAAATTCATTACTCTATCCCTATTATTGTTAGTTTTACGTTATGAATAGATATCTGAAGTAGGAACTACAAAACTGGTTATCACTTTAGCTTGTTAATTGTAAATTAGACGAAAATATGGGAATTGTAGAACAGAAGAGAATGGGAAAACAAATCTCTTAATGATAAAAAATTATTTTCCCACTACATATCGGTAAAACTAATGAAATTATTGGTATAATTAACATATTAATATTAGTATTTTCTTCTAACTTCTTTTTAATGTATCACAAATGGGAAATAGTTATTCTATAACAAAAATATGATCTGACTTTTATCTTATACGGATGTAAATGCGCTTAATGTTCATAGTCTTATGAATTTTAATAAAAGAGTAGATCATCGAGTTATATATATATATATATATATATATATATATATATATATATATATATATATATGCAAATAATCCGTGGAAGTTATCACTAGTTCGGTAATAATGACCAGGAGTGAATAAAATACAAATAAATTGAATGAAAATCTCAATGGTAGGAGATTCGACGTACATTGATTCTTACGGATTCAAACATTGCATTATATTGATAAATTGAAATCATTATTATTATTTACTATTAAATTTCATGGTCGTAGATATTAAAAAAAAAAATAGACATCAGTATCTGAATGTTCACCATCATTCAATAACCATAATGAAGCTAAATTTCATGGGAGCATCATCGTGATATTTCATAGATTATTTTTCTTAACGTTAAATATATATTGAATATAATTTTCCTAGTTAATTTTATAATTAACTGAATCCCCCTATTCATAGTTAAACTTATCAACCACGTTAAGTAATCCTTTTGTTCCCCATCATGCTCCTTGTAATTTGATTTCTTCAGTTGTTATAATTTTTAAATAAGTGACCATATAAAATGAATCTTTCCAGGAAACCAACTCAAAGGAAAGCAAGTAATAAAAGATCTTTGTATAAAATTATTCTGTTAGTATGATAATGGATTCGTTAAAATTCGTATATGTTCTTATTTTATTTCACATAACAAAAATGTAAATGAGCGGGTCAGCGAGCAAATCCATAAGGAATTTCAATTCACTATACGCTTATAATGTCTCATAACATGCTTAGTAACCAATATTTCCGTAAATATACATATGCATAAATCCTTGAAAATCCTTTCAATATCAAGTACAAAGACTTCTAATACGGTCGTATTTTATGTATACACTAGAAGTTTGATGATGACTTCATACGTTTACTGCTTATTTCATCTAGTTATTTAAAATAAAAGACTTTTGAACACTTCAGTTGAAAGAGACTGTACACTGAAGACTGTCTTCACATGCTGAGAAGTTTCATATCAGGACAAAGCAGCTGTTCAATGCTCTGTAGTTTTCACTGATTGTCTAACAAAGGGCAATCTTTGTTGTAAACTATTTTCAAATTAATTCTAGGTAAAAAACTACATTTTCAGTATGGGGTTGTGGAGATTGTTGGGTTTTTGTTTTAAGTTCACGAACTGATTTGTGATCTCAATCAAAAACTACACTCTGCAGAGTTCATAACAACAGATATCAACAGACTTGGATGTTGTAGCTTAACCTAACTAATGAATAAAGTAAAAAGCAAACTAGAAATAATTACTAGGACAGGCTAATTCAAGACAGACTGGAAATAGATAGTAAAAATCTAATTCATAACTATCAAACAGTCGTTTCTAGTAGATGAAGCATAATCGAAGATAAAAGATTATGTATTTCTTTCCTTGGTTGGTCTTTTTTTTGTTTGAAGTTCAGAGTTCTCAAATAAAAGTTTCAAGGCCACTTCACGCAAGTCTAAACTAACAGTGTGAACAATAATTGGTAAATGGTTGAATGTGGTTAACAGAAAGTCTTGAATTTAAATTTTGTGGTAGTTAGTTTTTCACCAAAACAAGTCTCAATGTTCAAGGAAAAGAAGTTCAGTTTATGAGTTAACTCTGTGTTACTCAGCAGCACTGTATAACATATTATTTAGTCATTAGTGATGGTCGAGTGTTGTCATTTAAATTGCTATCATTTAGTGGTTATCTTTCATTGTAATGGGTTTTTTACATTATACAGTTAGAAATAGTCAACAGAAAATCCTAAATTTGGCCTCTTGTTACTTAACATAATATATTTGCAATGGTTACATCAAAATGCTTTAATGTGAAATGTTGCTAAAAAACAATAACTAACCTGTGTAAATATTTCAGTGCTAAAATAATTTCACTTGCATAAAATCGTGTAGTTTCGGATGAGAAATGGCCCACTTCTCGAAGATATTTGAACAGTTCACCACCACATACATATTCAAATAACATGTATAAAAATTTTGCGTCGTGTCCAGTCCAATATCTTGAAAGAAAAATACACGAATCAAAATAAAGTTTTTCATTACTTAACTTAGTTGATTATGATAGGTTGTCAAAGGAATTAAGAATTAGGGACTGATGCAATAATTGTTGAATTCGGCAACTAAGTTATGAATAAAATACATTAAATAAATATTACAAAGTTGAATTATATATATACGTTTAGTCTCATTTGTTTTTCGGAATGATTATGATAAGACTATATGGACACGTTATGATGATTTGAGCGTGACAGTGGCCATATGTACTGCATACGTCACAATCAGGTTATAAAGAATAAATATCATTACAATGAAATACAAATAATTACATCTTCCGTTTTTACACATAGTAATCTCACATTTTATGAACATTCACTATTCTGTTGCTAAATACTCGAAAAATCTCTTGAAATGAATGGAATTAAAATAGCTCATAGTGTCATTGAATAACTCCGCCTGTAGCTCTTCTAGAGTTACTGCCGGTCCCAAGCCCGGGTAAAGGAGGAGGGTTGGGCATGGGGTTAGCGACCCCATCCCGTAGAAAAGCTAACTCGCTAAAAAAACGCTAACCAGAAAAAATAATCCAAACCATTTAAACTCTGCCCTGGGAGTTGAAGGAATAATGACGTCTCATGATGAAAGCCGAAATTCTTCGGAAGTCACGAGACCGATGCACCTTCTAACAACCAGAGCAACACTCTTTATAGGTACATGGAACGTCCGGACAATGTGGGAAACAGGAAAGACCAGCCAAATAGCAATGGAAATGAGGAGATACAAATTGGCAGTACTCGGAATCAGCGAAACCCATTGGACACAAACTGGACAACAAAGGCTAGGTACAGGAGAGATGCTGCTGTACTCCGGTCACGAAGGGGAAAATGCGCCACACACTCAGGGAGTTGCTCTAATGCTGTCCAGAGAAGCACGAAATGCACTTGTGGGATGGGAATCTCATGGACCCAGGATAATCAAAGCATCATTCAGAACAAAGAAGCAAGGGATCACAATGAATGTTATCCAATGTTATGCACCCACCAATGATAGCAACGACGATGATAAAGATCAGTTCTATGAAAGGCTGCAATCAATTATAGCAAAGTGCTCACGAAAGGACCTCACCATCCTTATGGGAGATCTAAATGCTAAAGTTGGAGTGGACAACACAGGATATGAAGATGTAATTGGACGACATGGACTAGGAGAGAGAAATGAAAATGGGGAGAGACTTGCAGACCTATGTGCTTTCAACAAATTGGTTATAGGCGGCACAATATTCCCACACAAACGCATACACACAGCTACATGCATCTCACCGGACCACACCACAGAGAACCAGATTGATCACATCTGTATCAACAAAAAATTCCGAAGATCAATGGAAGATGTGAGAACCCGGAGAGGAGCTGACATAGCTTCAGATCACCACCTGGTTGTGGCCAAGATGAGACTGAAGCTAAAGAAAGACTGGACAACTGGACAAAAAGCACTACAAAGGTTTAATACAGCCTTCCTTCGAGATACTGACAAACTCCATGAATTCAAGATAACTCTCAACAACAGGTTCCAAGCTCTACAGGATCTACTGAAAGAACAGGAAACTACTTTGGAGGACAACTGGAAAGGGATAAAAGAAGCACTAACTTCAACGTGTCAGGAGGTTCTTGGTCCTAAGAAGCACCATCACAAGGAATGGATCTCTATGGGAACCCTGGACAAACTTCAAGAAAGGAAGAACAAGAAACTAGCAATTAACAACAGCCGAACACGAGCAGAGAAAGTCAAAGCACAAGCAGACTACGCAGAAGCAAACAAGCAAGTGAAGAAAAGCATTAAAGCCGACAAGCAGAAATACATGGGAGAACTAGCAACGACGGCGGAAAAAGCTGCAAGAGAAAGGAATATGAAACAACTATATGATACAACGAAGAAATTGGCAGGGAGATATAGCAAACCAGAGAGACCAGTCAAAGACAAAGAGGGAAAGACAATCACTGAGATTCAAGAACAGAGGAAAAGATGGGCAGAATACTTTGAGGAACTGCTGAATAGACCAGCCCCATTGAATCCACCGGACATCGAAGCAGCCCACACTGACCTTCCAATAGATGTCACTCCACCAACGATCGAAGAAGTTAAGATGGCCATCAGACAAATCAAAAGTGGGAAGGCGGCAGGACCTGACAATATACCAGCTGAAGCACTGAAGTCAGACATTGAAATAACTGCAAACATGCTTCACCTTCTATTCAAGAAGATTTGGGAAGAGGAACAAGTGCCAACGGACTGGAAAGAAGGATATCTCATCAAGATACCAAAGAAAGGAGATCTGAGCCAATGTGAGAACTACAGAGGCATCAGTTTGTTATCAGTACCAGGAAAAGTTTTCAACAGAGTGCTGCTGAATCGGATGAAAGACGCAGTAGACGCCGAACTTAGGGATCATCAGGCTGGATTCCGTAAGGATCGGTCGTGCACAGACCAGATTGCGACACTACGGATCATCGTTGAACAATCAGTTGAGTGGAACTCATCACTATACGTCAACTTCATCGACTATGAGAAGGCGTTTGACAGCGTGGATAGGAGAACATTGTGGAGACTTCTTCGACACTATGGAGTTCCTGAAAAGATTGTCAACATTATCCAAAACTCATACGATGGATTACAGTGCAAAGTGGTGCATGGAGGACAGCTGACAGATGCATTTCCAGTAAGGACCGGAGTCAGACAAGGCTGTCTACTCTCCCCATTCCTCTTCCTTCTAGTGATTGACTGGATTATGAAGAATTCGACATCTGAAGGGAAATACGGAATACAATGGACCTCTCAGAATCAATTAAATGATTTGGACTTCGCAGATGACCTAGCCCTCCTCTCTCATACACACGAACAAATGCAGATGAAGACCGCAAATGTAGCAGCAGCCTCCGCATCGATAGGTCTCCACATTCACAAAGGAAAAAGCAAGATTCTCAAATGCAACACGGAGAACACCAACCCAATCACACTTGATGGCGAAACTCTGGAAGAGGTGGAAACATTCAAGTACCTGGGGAGCATCGTTGATAAACAAGGAGGATCGGATGCAGATGTAAAGGTGAGGATTGGCAAAGCAAGGGCAGCATTCTCACAATTGAAGAACATATGGAACTCAAAACAACTCTCAACCAATTTCAAGGTCAGAATCTTTAATACGAACGTCAAGACAGTCCTACTGTATGGAGCTGAAACGTGGAGAACTACTACGGCCATCATCAGGAAGGTACAAGTATTTATAAACAGTTGTCTACGCAAAATACTCAACATCCAATGGCCGGATACTATCAGCAACAGCGTTTTATGGGAGAGGACAAACCAGCTTCCAGCTGAAGAGGAAATAAGGAAAAGACGTTGGAAGTGGATAGGACATACATTAAGGAAATCACCAATGTGCATCACGACTCAATCCCTAACTTGGAATCCGGAAGGGAAGCGGAAAAGAGGAAGGCCAAAGAACACACTACGCCGGGAAATAGAAGCCGATATGAAAAGGATGAATAGCAACTGGAAAGAACTGGAAAGGAAGGCTCAGGACAGAGTTGGATGGAGAATGCTGGTGAGCGGCCTATGCTCCTCGACGAGGGGTAACAGGCGTAAGTAAAGTAAGTAAGTCATTGAATAGAAAAAAAAGAGAGAATTCAGAGAAGAAAATTTTTTCGACGAAATCATTTACATAAGCTGTACATTCGTCGAAAAGAAAACTTTTTTTCGCCGAATTCTCTCTTTTCCTTCTATTGTGGGACTCATTAAAAATAAAAGATCAAAAATCTGTATGTTTTATACTAAGTGATATTCCATTTGTTAAAGTATTCATACAGCATTTTATCTAGTTATATTCAGCGTATTATTCAAATCTTATGTCCAAAATTGTAAATAGTTACCTATGATACCAGATCTCTAAAGTTTAAGGAACAATTACAGTTGAAAATTACAACTCAATGCTTCCTACTAATCTCAGCTTTCAGAAAATAATCTGTTTTTCTATTTGCTAGTTTTTTTAATGGTATTTTGATGATAGACCACCATGGAAATCCTGGAAGCACTGGACGGCCGTTTCGTCCTATTATGGGACTCCTCAGCAGTGCGCATCCACGAACCCACTCTCGCGGGATTCGAACCCAGGACCTACCAGTTTCGAGCCGAAGCCCTTAACCAATAGACCACTGAGCTGGCATCCAACGGTGTTAATGTCTAACTTCAACTGATTGGTTAAGGGCTTCGGCTCGAAATTGGTAGGTCCTGGGTTCGAATCCCACGAGAGTGGGTTCGTGGATGCGCACTGCTGAGGAGTCCCATAATAGGACGAAACGGCCGTCCAGTGCTTCCAGGTTTTCCATGGTGGTCTAGCTTCAATTGACTCATGATCTCAACTCTATAACTTACTAAATTCTCCACAAAACCCCTTCTGGTATTTTGATGAATTTAGTATTAACAAAACTTCGAAATTTGAACAATATGGGATGCCGCTGTCCTACACTTGTCTAGTAATTCGAAAAAGAAACTATTACAATTGTTTTGTTAAATATCATTGTTAGTTGGTCAAACGACATACTTTATTATTCAAAATAAATTGTTATTATTAAGGTAAAAGAAACTTCATATCAAAAGTAGTTCATTTTATCATAAAGACTGATACTAATAGACTGTATTTCTAATCTCTTCTTACCATTACAATAGAATGTAATAAACGCGACTATACTTATTACTTCTTAAAAACTTGGTTTTTATTCAAACTTCTAAAAACCCCGTCGCCAGTTGTTATATCGTGTGCGTGTGTACGTGTGCCCTGTTTGATATATGAAGTGATGATGCCCGCAGATCAGAGAGGAGTGAATTATTGATCGGAGCAATATATAGAAAAGCCATAGGAGCAGCCTTAAGTACTTATCAGTCCTGCTTTCTACCTAACCCAGCCAGTTAAGTCCAGAACACAAATAACAGCCACTGCAATATGAATTAT